CTGCATCATCACCGAAAGTGTTAATTACATTTGTATCCACAACTTCTGTCATTCAATGTACTGAAAGAAAGAATCTTATCAATATACCAGCATGTATTGTTTGAGTATTTTATCTTGTTTCATCACTGGTTTGAATGGGTAAAATTTAATTAGACATAAGCACTATATCTAATTGTTAGAGGCTGCTGAGCAGTTGCAGTTTGATTAGACTTGTGAAAGCTTATGACTTCCAAGGAAGAATGCCTACTGTTTGCTTTCAGCCTGAAAAGTGTTCAGAGTGATTTGGTTGCATGTAAAGAAGGGCAAGATGTAGTTCTTTTACTGTTGAGTCTGTGTTTAATAAGCAAAAAGAAGTTGAGATGCTTTTTAATTTCAGTTGAACTTGGCAAATGGTTTCAAACCAAAATAAAAAGAAAGTCACATAAAATTCACTTCAGCTTCTTAAAACAGATCACAGTACTGTTTACTAAAGAAGCAGGAAAGATATATGAAATGTCTTTGTGTCCAATTCACAGTTAAAGCAGTAAACTTACATACCTTCAGAGTGCTGTTGCCACATAGCTATAAAGTTATTCTCTCTGACGCTCCAACCTAATGAATATTCAAAGTATTTACCTGGAGCTGAATAATTTTAGGATACATTTTTTAAAAATTCCCTCAGCATGCTCATTAGGGCAAATTCAAATGAGAGATCAGTTTCAGAGTTCCTTCATGACCAAAGAGAAGGTTTGGTACATGGTTTGGTGAAAGATGAATGTTCAGGTCTTGCGCGCTGCTCCCTCCTGGCCTTATTTTTGCTTAAATCTCATTGGTCTGCTTACATAGATCAACATTCTTATGTCCACACCTCCTCTTCTTTTATCCTAAAACATGCTAAATGTGATTCAAATTGTAATATTTGAGTTTGGTTTTGAATTCACTATTTTATTTCATGCAGCTGTTTCAGAACTGCTAGGAAACAAGAATGTACATGAGGCAGTGTTCACCAGCAGTACCCACAGTCCCTCGGTATGCTGTACTTTCATGAGAATGAGATTTTACATGTGGTTTAAAAAAAACAAAAAAAACCACCCCACCAAAAATCACCAAAACACAAAACACTCCCCCCAAAAGCCCCTCCCAAACCTAACTCCCCCCCAAACTCCAACAACATAATAACCCCCCAAACCAACAAACATACAAAACACCCAAACCAACCAAACAAAAACAGGCTACTCCCAACCTCCCCCCAAAAAATCCCCAAGCCCCCAAAACCATGAAAACCTGACAAAACCAAACCTCAAACATTGCTTTCCCCAAAACCCTAGGAAAAAGGCAAAACACCCAAAAGCCTTCTTCATCTACTGTGTCCAAATTGGGTATGGAAGCTGGGTTATGAATTTCCAGCTGGTTGCTGCATTTTGCTGACATCTGTATTCAGGCTCCGACCTCTATCAGTACTTGCTAGGTGCAGCATTAAAATTTCTGGTACATATTCAGTACCCTTTTACCATTTCTAAATACAAATACTTTAAAGGTTTCTTTCTTGATCTTTTCTTATGCAGTCATTTTAAGATTGCTATTTTGAACCCATTTCAGTTCAGTTAAATGCAAAATAAAGAACAGATTGCTGAGCAGTTGTTATTTTGAAGGTTGTATTTTTCTATTAATTCACGCACAGTAGTCACCTTGTTGAGTAGCTACGGCAAACCTACCATCGACAGGCAAATGAGAGAAGCCTGCTCTGCAGCACGGTGTGCGATACGTGTGCTGCCAGCACGGGAACTGACTGGCGAGCCAGCCGGTCAGCACTGCCGATGCCAGGCGGCTGCCTGCAGTATTTCAGCATAATTGCAGACGTCTTCAGAGGGGAGGAGTTACTGTAGACACGAGCTGAAGCAAGACGCCTCACAAACCAAAGTTCAAGGTGAGTTCCATACTTGACAGTAGCTGGTTTTAGAAATTTATTTTTTCTTTTTTTGATTTTTTTTTTCCCTAGTGCAGAAAGCAATACTCTGTAAAAATCCTTGGAGCTTCTTATTGCACAGGGTCACAGTCTGATATACTCATGCTCAGCATTTCTTCCTGTACTAAAGGCAAGTCTATAAAAAGGAATAAGGCTATATAATTTTCTATTAAAATACTACCAATAACAATGTATTTTAATGCTGGTGAAAATTAATATTTTAAAGAAAGGAAATTTTAAATGGAAATAGGCATTAGTGATCACCCCTCTTAGTAGAAGGGAAGATCAGGCATTGCTTGGTGATGTTTTGGATGCATGTCGTGATATCTGCACACTCTCCTCAACCTGCCTGCTGGATAGCACCAGGCGTCCCTGGCTGCTTGGACTTCAAAAAAAGCAGGAGAGGAGGAGCTGAGGTCTCTTGCCTGAACGTGTAGACTATGGGGACAAGGGAAGAGACAGTTCCTGCTTACCTGGGGAAGCCAATAGTGAGACAGTGGGGAAAGGGCGTTGTTGTCTTTTTCCCACTGTGTACAAGGGCAAATATCTTGCACCAGCTTTATAAGGCAGTTTTCCAAGCAGAAGGGAGCAGGACAAGAAATCAGCATTCCCTAATACTTTGAGTTTTCTTGCTGTCTCTTGGCACTTCTGATCACTAGTGAAAGTGTTTTGTTTTTTGTGAAACCATTGCCATATTCTGGCTCTGGTGCCTGTAGAAAATAGAAGTGTTATTAGGCTCCAGAAAAGCAGCACCTATGTTGAGCCATATGGTATCTTTTCCCTATTGATCTACCTGGCTGACTATTACTATATGCTTTCCGGATGAAAATCTGTGGTTTGGATCTGTGCTGTCCTGGGACAATGATGTCTTTGTCCATGGTTATGTTTTCTACAGGCTGCAGTAGTTTGCGTAATAGGCTTTAATTGCAGTGGTGTTTGTACATAAGCTTAGTGGGGATGCATCCCAGTGCTTTTGAGGAAGTCGTAATTATAGAATGCAACAGGACAAAACGGATGGTTCTAGATGTATAAACTCCTTCACTCAAGCACTGCTTGCCCTGATCTGAATAGTCTCATTGATTTTAATGGATCCATGCTGCACCTTCTGATGATTTGCCCATCAATTTTTATAGGCTGTACAGCGTGGGATAGAGCAAGTGTATTTTATAGGTAGAGGGGATATATATACACAAATTCAGTTTGTTTATTTATTTATTTTTAATACCTGTGAATGTGTTACAGATGTCTGCCACGTTTGTACAGAGGAAGGTAATATATTTTAGTGCTCAGGCTCCTGATGATAGAGTAAATGTAGGCTGTGATCCCCCGGAGCCGCCTTCAAGGGCAGAGGCAGCAAGCTCTGTGACTTGGCAGAATTCCCCTTTGGGTGTTGCCACTCTGCCTTCTGAGGTCCTTAAATCTTAACTAGAAATAGCTGTATGCAATTCTTTAAAGGTTCGTCCTGATTTCTTCAGTAGTTTTTCCTGTGCAATTCTAAATAGCACCAAAGTATGGCTTCAGTTGTGTCTGGATAAGTATGATTAAGTCTTCTGTTCTGGAAGGCCTTATTTGAGGTCACTTTTAATCACAGATGGAGCAGATTTTGACCAATATGTATTTATTAAAAAATAAAAAAAAAAGCCAAAAATTCAGATTAAAGAAATTATTAAACATAGTTTTACTTGTAAGGACATATGCCAATTGTCCTTACAAAAAGACTATTGCTTACAAATCCTGCTGCAATCTATTGATATAATCTACTAAAATTATTGCTTCAGAATAAAACTATAAGAATAAGGTAAGAGGAGACATTGCAAAAGATGTGGAAATCTGGGAAAGAAATGGAAAAATATAAAATGCACTTCAAGTTTTCTATCTATTAACTATTTACTGCAATTTTGTAAATAATGTCAGAAAATCAGTTTTTTGGGGGCAGAACAGCCTCAGGAAAATGTTTATTTCATGAGCAGAGGAATAATGAAACCTGGCTGCTGTAGAGAGGTGAACCTGCCTGTACCACCATGGCTCTTTCCTGGAAGCCTGTTCCATGGTGCCAGCAGTTCCCAGCACAGCCAGGCTGTTCCATCCCACAGACTTCAGTGGCTGCAGGAAAGGACTGGGGCTGGTCCCATGTTACAGAGTACAGCACAGGCAGGCTGCCTTGGCACCTCTGTGCCTCTCCAGATCAACAAGTGAGCTACTTGGACTTCTCAAAAAGCCTTTAAAATGTTTGAAGTATCTTCTTTCAGCACATTTTATTTTTAGATTTTTTTGGCACCTTTCTTGATGTTCTGCACTTGCTTTATGCCTTGACCAAATTATTGGGATTTTTTTTTCTTTGGTTTAGTTACTGGGATATTTTTTTCCTTTGGTATTCTGGGAGGTAAAATGAATCTTTATTCCTTTCTAAGGTAGATAAATACTGTCTTGCCTGAGTTTTTATCTGTCATTTTCATAATTAGGTTTACTATATTTACTGGTGTTTGCTCTCCAGGTTAGATCCTCTGCTCCAAAGATGCACGTCCTTGACAGGGAGAAAGGAAGCAAAAATTTTTAGTCATTCTTAATCTTTATTTCCATTGATGTCAAATTTCTTCCCAGTCCAGAAAGGGTTGTTTAGTGCTCATTTTACACAACAATTTTGTCTGTGGGCTGCTCTCCCTTCACTGGAGTTTCCAGGGGTGAGTGCACAAGGACTTCCCAAGCAGGCAATGATAAACTTCTCAGAATTTTCACATAGCTAAATTTTTTAAACACATTCTGTAGGTAGACCTGAGGCCCTTGCGTTTGTGAATACAGTCAGTAAAAATCAGCTGCCATATCTTTTTTATATTTTTTTTGGGGGGGGGGGGGTTTCCTGTATTCTTCCTTCAGGGAATCCTCATCAGCATCTTCTTGAACAACAAACTCTGGAGTTAAATCTGCTCAGACATGCTCCTAGAGACTGTTTCAAACCAGTAGGACTTGTACTAGCGGGGAGAACAGAAAATGGTTCCCAACATCTCAGTCTGCTCTGCTGGGCTCTGTGCATAGTCTCTGCCATTTTTGCAGCCATGCTTCTTATCTGTCTGCAGATCGCATGTGCGTGAGGATCTCCATGGTGACTTGGGCACTTGAGGCAGAAATATGAGCTGGTAAGTCAAGGTTATCCTCCCTCCTCCTCCTCCTTTCCTCCCAGTTCAGTATGAGTTATTACATGCGTTACGTTTTGGTATGGATGGTGCTTGTCTGGAGCAAAGCACAGCGAGTCTGTTTTAATTCTCCAAATCCAGTTTAAACACCTCACACAGATGCATGGGGTGTGTGTGTGCAGGGGGTGGGTTATAGAACCTTTTTCTGGCTCTGTATGCAGCCATGACACCCCTTGTAGGGGAGGCTTATGCTGCATAGGTGGAATACAGTGATATATCCAAGGTAGATTTTCTTTCTTTGTGCATTGGAAGAGTTGACTGGGGGCTAGCAGTAGGGAAATACAGGTAATTAGCTCCTCTGTCTTTACTGGATACCCTGAAGAAATGGAAACATAAATATTGAATTATAAAGACAGAATTTGTGTAGTCTCAGAATATGTACATATAAAGCAGAATTTTAGGTCAAATGTGTTCAGTTAGCCAGTAGGTACATTGAAGTTGTGCCTTTTCGTATTCACAAAACACTTTTTTCCATTGGTGCAAACAACTTGAAATGAATAGTGTTTTTCTTGTTTGTTAGCATCATCTCCCCCTGTTGTCCATCGACATAAAATGCAGTGTTCTGGAACATGAGAAAGGCAATACATTTCCTCCAGTTCTTTGTAAGCTGATATGAAGCAGACAGACACCTTCTGAAGTTTTGTGCATGCTGTGCTCTTTTTTTCTTTGCTGCAACAAGAAAAGCCTTTTCTTTTAACCTGGCTTCCTTTGAAGAAGTAACTCAGGAAGCTTCATGGCCTCTCAAGGTAAGTGCATCTATAGTCTGTATTTTTAGATCATGTTTACAGAAAACTACAGTCTTGTACGTTTCCAGCAATCAGCAGTCTGATGAAATGAGTTTCAGGCTAAAACCACATCAGCCAAAGCACAATTGTTTTGGCTTCCTTTAATTTTTTTTTAGAATTCAGGAGGCTCCTAAGGAGACTAAAATCTATACGAGAATTTATTTGAATAAAATGTTAACATCTACGTTCAATCAAAAATATAGCATTTGTCTTTTTTTTTCTTAAAGTTGTTGGTTCAGAATGCTTGGGAAGGGCAGGTATTGAGCTAAAGGTACCACTATTTTTGCACACTTCTTTCTTATTCCACTTCAAAAATACCAAATCAGCAAATGCTTTTCACTTTCAGAACTGGCCAGAGTCCTGATAACCATGTAGGGAAAAAACAAATATCTTAAGAATAACTGAATTTAATCAGATTACTCCTATCTGGGTTCATCTTTGTCACACACTGTGTTCTAGCTGCAGCTGGGTGGGTACTCAGGGCTATTGGCCAACCTTGCAGCATGCTGATCTAACCAGCCTTCTAAATTTATTTTCTCCATGCTTTCAAATACTTAAACTAAGCAGAAGGATACAAATCTATTTTTTCTCAACATGAATACAACTCCACAGAGGTCACCCTGCTGTGATGTACAGAGGCAGATATTGGCCTAGGGACTTTCAGCAATGTCTGTTTAAGTTTGTCAAATGTTTACCCCTCTTTGCCCCCAAAATACTGACAACATTCTGCATTTACAACATTAAAAGGTATTCAGCAGCAAGCAGGTTTTATGGCATTGTTGTACTCTTGCAAAATACTGGGGGTTTTATATACACTTTGCGTACCTTTAGCCATATAAGAGATCTGGGTTTGTATATTTTTAATGCAAAGTAGTTAACATAAGTATGAAAATAGTAATGTTGTTTAATATGGTTTTAAAAATGAAGGAATTTGATAATATACTTCTTTTAGGAACAAGTAACGCTACGAATTATGTTTGTACAGAAAGCTCATTGTATTGTATGCTAACTTTTAAGTTTTCCCATACCATAATTGAAATGGGAAACATCCACGAAAATAGACAAAGTGTCAGACTGTCATGAATATTTAATATATTTACTATTTGATTTTTGTATAGCTTAAAATTTGACAGGTAGAACTGCAATTTGTTGTCTTCCTTTTCCTCTTTATCATTCGAGAATAACACTAACACTCGGCCACTTCATGGCATTTCATGTAACAACAAGAATTACGGCAGTAACAGAACCCTGTGAGGTAAAATGATGCAGAAGAGCCTATAAAATATTTATTACCCACTTATACATTTTTAAAAGCCAGCTACAAATTCAAAGAGGTTACTTTTTCTTCCTGTGGTCTCAGACTTTGAAAGAAAGCAGTAGCTGCAAAGACAAATTAAGATCAAAATATGATTAAATGATGAATCAGCCACAGTGAGTTCAAATAATACTAAAGGATCTCATTTAAACCCACAACAGCAAAAGAGAGCTTCAGACTTAGAGCCAAAATTCATTCTGGACCTCAAATCCCATCATGCCTATGTATTGTCACACATGAGATAAAAATGATCAGTTTGGGTACTGCTTTACTGCTGAAGCACAGAGGCTCAGCTTACTATTAGAAGGATTTGCCATTTTCTCTGCAGAGAGCTTCAGTTTGCTCTTGCTTGCTCTGGCAGAGCCAGTCTTAGTGAAGGCTGTGGAAAGATGCTTGGAGTAAAACCTACTGGCTTTGCTGAGTTTGCTGAGAATCAAATGGCTAAGGTTATCACTGTCCACTCAGAGACTGTGCCTATGCATATAAAGGGGTGCAGGCATTCAGGTGCCTGTAACAGTAAATACTCTCATTACCTTCGCAGCACTAGCCAAGGTAACCATCACTGTCCTAAAGGATGAGTTTGCAATAGCAAACCAGAAAACACAGCTTAATGATATCTGATCTTCTCATTAAGATAATAATGAATAATACACTGTAAGAGGCTGTTTAGACTTTGATACCAGAGTTGTAACATCTAGCTTAGGGTATCTGAGATCTCTGGAAAGATTATCTCTAATCAAGAGAAAATATGCATACCCTCAAGATGCTAGAAAGCATCTTGCTAGAAGCAAGCCTTCAGCAACTTGGTATACGTTAACACACAGGGCAGCTCATGGGGAGCAGGGCTCAGCAACCTGTGCTGAGGAGCTTATGGCCATCCCGTGTGTGTGAATCCAGACCAGCTCCATCCAGCCTTGTCACAGAGACTCAGTGCTTGCAACCTGTCAGAGTGGATTAGCTACCATCCAAGACCATACATATCTCCTGGTTAGCTTCAATTCCACTTTGCATACTCTTAAGATTTCTTTATAAATTGAATCAGAGTGCTGTAAGTGTGGGACCATCAGAAGATTTGTTTCAGATCCTCACTCCTGATGTGAATCAAAATGCTGATATAGTCACAGGCAGAATATGATATTGTTCCAGTTTTGATCTGAACAGCTAGCTGCTGTTTGATCCTGTTACTTTCTGATTGTAATTATTATTTTTCTTCTTTCCCTGCAGAATATCAGGGACAAACCAACCCAATTTTTAGGGATCACCTCCCTGGTTCTTCTGACCTTTCTGGACAGAATAAACCTGTTGAACCAACAAGCCTCTGGAAGCAAACATCACACCCTTATAACTTGCCACCTGGTCTGGAGTACCTGAACCAGGTCCTGAATCTTTCCAAATGTTAGAATTGTCTTGGGGGTTTTGTTTGTTTATTTCGTTTTTCCTGAGGGAGGGACAGGCAGAGATGGAAAGGTTTTTTTGTTGTTTGATATTACTATGAAATAAGGAGCCATAGGAGTGACAAGCTCTTCCTTCATTGTGGCTGTTCATTTGCACAGAAATCCATTTGTTGTGCATGCATCTCTTCTTGCACCAAAATCATGGTTTTCTTCCCTCTAGGACTTTTTCTAGATCATATTATTATACTGCTCAGTGTCCCCCCAGTTTTCTTCCAGCTGCTTAAGAGCTCACCCTCAGGGAAATGGCTATCAAACTCTGGCCTGCCTCAAAAAGATTAAAACAGGCAGCGTGTGAAGGAATTATCACCTCCTTGCAACCCATCCTTTGAGGAACATGAAGGTCTCATGAGCAAACTGCTGCCCACAACAGTGCTCTCCAGGTTGGATGTAAGGTCCTGGGGAGAAAAGTTCTCAAGGACACAACTTGTGAGCGTAAGTCTGGGCAGCTACAAACCTGCACCTGCATTGTGTTGGGTCATGGGGCAGGAAAGTGCTACTGCCCAAGAGAGGAAAATGCTTAGAAATGGAAGCAGACCAGTAGGTCACAGGCAGGGGAGGGAAAAGAAATGCTAAAGTCTTCTCTGTCCTGTTAAATGTGAGCTGTCCATCTCGCTGTGTGAAAACTCTCAGTCCCTGGAGCTCAGACCCGTGATGGTCTGCAACTTTGTTCCAGAAGTTTCATCTCTTCCTACACTTTTTTACTGGGAGAGTCACTCCCTGCTACTGCCTTGACACTGAGTCCTGTTTGCATTTCAGGTGTGGCTGGATTCTGCTGCTCTTACATATGCTGAGCAATGGGTCATACACCCTGCCTGGTATGATCAGGAACAGAACTGGGCCTCAGGATAGTCAGGCTGTGATTCTGATACACACACTTCTGCTGTGTTTGTATTTTGGTGGTGCTGGGAAATATTTATTTCTCTTGAGGTGTGTATTTTAGATATACAATTCTGGTAGTTTTGCACAGAAACAGAAATTGAATACATCTTATATTTCAATCTAAGTTACCCAGATAGCTAATGAAACTGGGAGTCACTACAGGTATCATCTTGCATGTGGAGCTATGATTTTCATTTCATGGTGCCCATGCACAAAATATCAGTTGTCAATTACATGAGCATTTGATCACAGAGCGTGGGAGCTACATTTTTTAGACTGAGGAGTGATTTGCTCAGCTGTTCAAGGTGCATCAAAAATGGCCAATAACTTGCTTCTGTCTTGGCAGACAGATACTGTTCTTTCACTGTCACAGAAGCGACACTCTAAACAATTTCCTACCAAAAAAAAAAAATTGACCAAACCTCATTATTATCTTCTAGATCACAGCCATAGTTTGAGGAATTGTCCAGTGTCCGTCACAAAAATCGAGGGAACCTTTTCCCGTAGCAGAAATATGCAGATCAGACCTTGGAGAACTTTCCAAGTAGCTTAACAGCATGTTGTGCCACCATTCAGGCTTAACTAGTTTTGTAAATGCTTCTTGGTTTAGACTTGGTTAGACTGATCAGATGTAAATTTAATTTCCACAAAACAGAATACTAAGAATTAGCTGTGTATAAGGAATTTTAACATATCTGAACTCAAGAGGGCTCATATCCTTGTAAAAAAAAGGGCTTTACATCTTTCAAATGCAAGTGCAGAATTCAGTTGATCCACAAGTGTCCCAATAAAAGGTGCTTCAGAATAGCTGTCTTGCCCAAACCAGGGAAGGCAAAACAAGCCTAACAAGTGTTACTGCCGTGTTGTCTCAACATTTTTTATACATTGCTCACAATAAACCAATAAACAGATCAAAATCACTCAAAGCTTTTAACTGTTCAGTCTCTGTCATTTTGTTTTCCTTGTGAAAGCCTATGTGGGGCAAAGAAATCCATACTAAAATCAAAACTAAAATACTGAAGCAGCTCTACCATCTTTAACGTTTTTATTCTTTTTATATCATCAGAGCACTTCCCATGAGTTCCAAGAGTTCACATCTCTCATAAAACCTAAACAACAAACAGCAGAGATCCTTGGGAGAAAATTTTTAAGTCCAAATATTTTTTATTATTTCAATTACTGGCATGCACATTTCAGAGATTAATGAAAGGGATAAAGAAGTTTCTCTTGTACCAGCTTTTCTTTGCAGCCTGAACTAGCTGCAGGAGATGACTAGAACTGACAAATGGCTGCAACAGTTTGAATACGTACCAGGCAAGGTTTATCAATTGTAAAATATACAGACGCTGGAGAGCAGTGACATGCTGGTCTCAGAAGGTCGCTGTGTGCTTTCTGTTTGCAGCTGTGAGTAACAGCAAAATCCTGTGCCACGTGTTTGCCCATCAGGAATTTAAGGAAAAAAAGATTAGCAAAGCCTAAACTATCGCATAAAACAGGCATAAAAAGTCACATAAAACTGAAAGGTAGACTGAAATTAAGTCTTGCTGATTTTATAATGCTAATGACTGTTCTCTAAAGAAGAGTAACGTCGGAGGGATTGTAAGCACAGCAAAGCAAGGGTATTGTGGCAGTTATTCTCCTGCATTTGTAACCAGCCCACAGGGGAAGACAGTTTCAGTAAGCTGAGGGTTTCTCTGGGGAGTGTTTTGCCCATTCTGGCACCCTAATGTGACTGCTTGCCAGATTTAGGGTGCAGAACTACCAGTGCCTGAGATCAGAGTGTTAAAGATTGTGTGTGCCTTTGCTGGCATCATCTAATTGCCTTGATAGGCTGCTCTAGCAAGGCCCTTTGAATGTGGCTGCAGCATGTTTTCAGCTTGAGTCTAAACTAATTCACTCTTTCACTGCCATGGTGCCCCGCACTAACCTTAGCTTTGGGGTAAGGGGCCAAGAGCAGGAGGGATGCACAGGAGTCTGAAACGGGTCCTGCTTTTCACATACATCTTTCCATTGCTGTTGCCTTCCTCATTCTCCCAGTGACAAATTGTAGAACCATAGAATGCCAGGTTGGAAGGGACCTCCGGTATCACCTGGTCCAGTGACTAGGTCAACCTCTCTTAGTTGATGTATACTAATTGTCCCAGCTCCCTGTCAGCTGAATCTTAAAAGTTCCCAGTGTCAGGGAATCCACCACTTTCCAACAGTTAATTGTCCTCATTATGAAAAATCTTCCTTTTGTGTCTAATCGGAATCTCCACAGCAGTAACCTGTACCCTTTGTCTTTTCCATGTGACTCCTTGTTAAAAGGGAGTCTCCATCTTCTCTGTAACCACCCTTTAAATACTGGAACATGGTGATAAGGTCTCCCGTGAGCCTCAAAGCTTGTTTTTCTTCAAATATGTGTGTGAATTATATAACCACAACACCCAATGTCACACTCTTCAGTCATCATTTCAGAGATGTCTAAAGTGTGACTTGAGATAGACCTTGAGCACCCAACTTATGCACCTCTGGAAGGAAAGGGAACCTAGTAAAAGGGAGATAAGCAATAAAAATAGACAGGTGATGGTGATCACCAGTAGCCCCAGACCTTTCCAGCACCCACCATCTTGTTTATTTATTTGTATTTTTAACAGCTGGACCGGATAATTATTCATCAGCAAGTGGAGCTTCTTGAAGGTACGGTGACTTCAGTGAGGTGGGGGGAAGGATTTGGAAGCCTTTTGGAGGCATCTGTTTTCTATTCCTCAGAATTTCAAAGTACTGAACAAGTATTAAGTTCTGAACTGAAAACATTTTAAAATGCATTTCTCCCTTCAAAGTGTTTATGTCCTGATTTTTGGCTACCTCAACTGGGTGAAAGTTTTGCTTGCTGAAGTGGGGCAGCCTCATATTTTACTTTTCACAGATGATAAAGTAAGGAAAAGCTCAAACTAAAACTCAACTGAATTCTGTTCTGTGATAATGCGATTTAGTGTACAGCAAATCAAAATCTTTGAACTAAATGTTCCTTCAAAATACAGACCTGTTATTATTATTTCCTTATAATTGCATTTTTCCTTTGTGTCATTACTTCAAAACAATTATTACACTTTGTTCCATAGATTTTTAGAATATATTCTAATATATATGCTAATATTATATTGAGGCAATTTTCTACTTATTTTGCTTCATTAGCCATAGTTGGCACAGAGACCTCCAGCAAATACGAGATAAAAAACCATTTGGGACAAAGAGTTTACTTTGCAGTAGAAGAAAATGATTGCTTTGATCGTAATCTGTGTTCGCCTATAAGGTCTTTCACCATAAGGATTGCTGATAACATGGGCCAAGAAGTGATTACAGTGAACAGACCCTTGAGATGCAACAGCTGCTGGTTCCCCTGTTTCCTGCAAGAGGTGAGTGAATCCTAACTGCCCTTTGTCCAAGCTTCTTGTTGTATGTGCACAGCATTAAGAAAGCCTTGTGCAACCCCTGTGAGGATGGCAGGAAGAGATTTACACCCACATCTCAGCCTGGAGGACTGCATGGAGGCCTTTGCTTAGAAGTAACTATTGATAAATGGAGCGCTTTTGTGAGTTATATTCCCAGCATGCCTCCCCTCTTTCATGGGTATTTACTTTCCCTGACATCCCAAGCTTTTGTGTCTAATGATACAGTTATCCCTCCAGTCAGCTAACACCCCAAAACACTGCTTGGCCCGACACATACTAGTATCAGTGCTACAGATGGAAATCACCCACTATACTCCCCAAGTGTGAAGGATAGACAATCCCTGGAAACCATTAGTATGTGTGGGTATGACTGGGAAGCACCCCTCTGAATCAGCTGATGCTTCACTCCATGGCTCTTTCTCCTCAAGGCCATATATCTCTTGAAAATAATCTGCTTTTACAGAAAACCACAGATCCTGTAACATACCAGGTCTTTTATTGTTTCAGACTCTCTCTTATTCAGACGTTTTTCTTGTTTTATGAAAATGCTTTAAGAGTTGACTCATCTACCTACATTCTCAGTACTGCATCGATCCTTTTTAAAAGAGGTCCTTTGCTAGCACAGCTACTGTATAAAAAAAGTTTATAAGGATACCTACTCATTGATTATAATGACAAAATTTTTTAACAATATATAGTTTTTTATACGTAAGCTATTAGCTTCTGGTGTAGCTTTTGACTTTCATATTGTCCAATATATTTAAACCCACCATCACACAGCCTTGTAATATCAAGTTGACAGTTTGGTAAAGTTATATATTTTTTCATTATATAAACAATGCACTTTTAAAATATACTACTATAAAGTTACTTTAGAAGATCTTTGTTTTCTCTTTTTTTTGCTAGTTAGAAGTTCAGTCCCCACCAGGTACAATAGCTGGATATGTTGTACAGAACTGGGACCCTTTTCTGCCAAAGTTTACTATACAGAATGAAAGTAAAGAAGATGTACTAAAAATAATTGGCCCATATGCAACTTGTGGCTGTTTTGAAGATGTTGACTTTGAGGTATGTTTCTTGTGAGAGTTAAGAATTTTAAGGTTTTACTACATTGAATAAATTTCTTACTCAAAAATCCGTGATTCTAGCCTTAAAAATATGTTGCTATAATTATGGAACAGAACTACAACAAAATGCATTGGAGTTCCTGACTTGTACACTCAGATTTCTACAGATGTTTTCTGGACAGGAGTGACAGTCCCTTCAAGGAAATAAACAAGTTGCTAGGTGAAGTCCTGATATTCTATAGTCCTTGAGCACTCAGCCATTGCTTTTTATAAACTCAGGGTTTTATCCCACATGGATTCACTGTTACCTGAAACAGTCCCTTGAATCCTGTGGCATTGAATCTGCTGCTGTCATCACTTTTAGACTGAGAACCACAGGGAGGACTACTGTCCAATATGTCTAAATTCAGTTGACAACATTTATCAGGAGAAAAATAATTCTGAGGAGCCATTGAGGTATGTAATGGATGACAGGGAGAATGGGAGATAATCAAAGAAACCCTGCACAGAGTTTTCTGATGTGAACAAAGTGCTTTTCCTTAATTAAGGAATCATAAAAGAGCTTCTTCATTGATCAACTTGTTAGCCAAATAAGTAGACTTCACTGGGTACTGACTGAAAGTCCCAATATACTGTGAGAAACATGTAGATAGCTACATAATTGAAAACTTACCTGTCAGTTGTAAGGGAAAGTGGTCCACAGCATTGGTACTGCTATGATTTGGAGCATATCAGAAACGCAATGTAGAAAACAAAATCATTGGGAAAGAAGAGCAAAAGTATGGTATAAATTTTTACATCTCATTTCCTCCACTTTTCTGTCAGCTCTAAAGATGCTGATGTTTCCAAACTTGAGACCCTTTCTTGTGTGCCACTCCTAAAGGAAAATCTGACACTAATAGAGCATCTCAATGATAAGAATAAAAGAACAACCTGACAACTATAGCATACTCTGTGTGTCAGGGCACAGTCATTAATTGTGGGGAGATATTGGTGTGTACTAGATTTATTTACAGTTAGGTGTATTCCTGTTTTTTATTGGTGTAGGTAAAAACTCTCAATGAGATGTCAACGATTGGCAAAATTTCCAAGTACTGGTCTGGATTTGTAAACAATGTCTTTACCAACACTGCCAACTTTGGGATCCAGGTCCCTGTAGATCTTGATGTGAGAATCAAGGCAATACTGATTGGTGCTTGTTTCCTCATTGTAAGTATGCAAAATAAAGAGGTAGACCCAATATGGCCTCTGCTATCAGTTGTGAACCTACAAAGCTCTAAGTGTGGAAGGCCAAACCTGCTATCTAAAAGAATAAGTTAATCAGTTAACTGAACTTAAGTGAAAACCTTTTAGTTTTTATGTCTGCTTTTTTTTTTTCTTAATTGCTGAGAATCTTTAGGTTCCTAAATGTTTTATTAAACTGTTTAAATAGTATTCCATGTATAGTTCAATATCTCACATGGCAGGATCAAATATCAATGTAAACGTCAAACCTACTGAACTCCCCAAACCCCCTTATCTGTTGTGGTATGGTAATGGTAATTTCAAACTGTGAGTGCCACTTAAACACTTCTATCAAGTATTACATATAAGACTTTCAGCTCATATGAAATTTCCTATGAAAAATTTAATTGTGAAGATAAAAAGAAGATAAGAGTTATATGAAAAAGTGAATACTCATTGCTAGGGGTAAGGATGAGGTTAAGATTCATGTGGGAACGAAATAGCCACAACTCAGAAATAGAAATGTAACTCTCATGATACTTAAGATTTTTGGATTGTGTCTTCCGAAACTTGTGTTGTTTAGTGGCAGAGTAATAGAAAATGATTGACTAATCTAATTACTTCATGTAACAAAAGCCTACAAGTAAGACTTTTGATAGCAGTTGTTGTATTTTTGTACCATACATATAATTCACAGTTTGTTTATTTATAGGACTTAATGTTCTTTGAAAACTCTTTGGATGGATTATAACAAGATGACAGAAACAATAAAATATGCAGAATGTGTTTCAGTAAGTAAAAATGAACATAAATTGAGCTTCTTGCTTTGAAGACTTATACATTAGATACTTTCTAATTCTTTTTCATTTTCTTCCAGAAATCGCTTGAGCTTTGGACATGATTTTGAACCTCACAAATCCTTGTTCCTTACAGGAAAAGATAGGGAGCTAATGATGATGTTTATTAAAATACGTCTCACGTAAATAATGATTTCCCTTTTACATTTTATATGTGTTGTAGCTAAACACATATTTTTCACACGGAGCACTTGCTTTGGAATTGTGCTATTCTTTTCTTTCTCTTTTGATGTTTCTGCATGGGAAATCATAAAAGATTTGATGAAGGCTTGCAGCATCACTGATGAAAGTCTATGTTTAGAGAAGCCTTTGATGTTTTGCAAGTGCTAGTACCAGTTACCAACCACACGAAAGCGTGTTCCGGGGGTTTTGTTTCTCGTAATTTTAGAAGCAATTTTCTGATTTGTTATTTAATTAATAGTAGCAAACTGAGTTGGAAAGTAACAAATAGACATCACCTAATGGGAAGCCTAAGATGTTATCTGTTGCAATGAGTTGAAAGAAGGGAAGCTATGTTTGCTATTAAATTAATTTTATGGCAAAGACTTGTTTGTTACAGCCAGGAATTAGGCCTCCAGCATTAGGCTTGGGAACATAAGTTCTATTCAGAAAATCTGGTCTTCCACTATTTTTATTGAAGGCAGGCCATAAGGTTTGAGAGATGGACCTCTATGTGCTAGAGGTGCACTTTGAACTATCCAGCATTGATTCTTGCTTCCATTGACTCAAGCCTTCCCTTAAAAGGTTTGTTCTTCTTTATAATATCTGGTGGTTAGAAACTTTTCATTCAGACTTGCCTGAGGCCACCCTAGAACAGAATTATTCTTTTCCTTTGGCAAGCTCAGGTATTTTCTATGATAGGACTGTACAGTAAGAGCTTTTTCTGTTTCAGATAGCAGCTTTACATAGCTGTTCATTCCTGCAGTTACACCTCATTATACAATTCCCAAACATTCTCGCCAACAGGCTTCTATTAATACAAACTTTCTTTGTAGAAGCATCCATGATATATATGAAAGTCATGAACAGAATAATTTTTGTTGTGAAATATTTTCTGTATGAACTTGCTTATCCTCTCCTAAAAACTCCAACGAGTCCTTCAAGAAGCAAATTAGTAGGATACAATATTGGTGGTAAAAAAAGAAATGCTGTTGTAGTCACTGGTCAAATTTCCAAGGGAAGCATCTTATAAATCAGGGAATGCTGAATATTTCTTTTTATCATGAACTAGTAATTCAATTCTTGAAAACAACCAACACATCAACGGAAAGGAGAGGAGATAATGAATAATTCATAAAAATGAAAAAGAGCTAAATTTATCAGGTGATTAATTCTCAACAAATATTTAGACTAATTTTAAATTAATGTTCATGGATATGAATTCAAACACAGTGAAGTCAGGAAGTTGCAACTAATGTTCCCTTAGTGAAATTAACTCAGGATTGCTTATAGATTTAAACAGTATGTTTTAGATTATATACCACACTTAGGTATTTATACAGATTTACATATGTCTTCAAAATAATTGTGGTTAACAAGCTCTGACAATCATCATTATCTTTTAACCATTTTATTACTGACTCTTGCTGTGATTCGTAGCAGTGCAATCAGGCTGCAATCTGCAGAAGTTATGAACTCACAGGGAACCATTGCCATCACCTTTCCCAGGAGGAAGCAACTTGTGAGCTTTGTGGGCAGAGGCTCCCTCGTGTGGAAATTCATAGTTTTGCAGAAGAATACAGATGACTGATGCCAATTTGCTATTCTCACTAGTTTCACATTGGTGTAATTCTATAAAATTCAGTCCTTTCACTCCTGACTTACTCTAATGCAAATTGAGAAAAAGAGACAGATTTTAATAGTAATCTTTCTCTTTGAATCCCTTTTCTATCTTAGGCAGAAGTGACTATTTTTGTAGCCAACATTCTTTAGTCTCATGCAAAAACATGTTCTTCACTGTTACCGAGTTGTATATATCTTAATGCACAGCTAAATGTAGTGCCTGGTGAGATCAGTGTGCTCCCTTGCTATCTGCCACTTCCTCTGCTATTTCCAGACTTCTTATGACCCTTAACAAGCTAAAGACCTCTTTGAAGCAGATGTGTGCAACTGCCACTGAAGTCAATACAAAATAGGGTCTTATTTACCTGTGGGGCTGAAATTTGGCTGAGTGTCCACATATATACCTTGTAGGTAAGCAATGCATATAGATTTTATGTATTGTAACCAGATGATAGCATTATTTCTTGCACTTAGTGACATCATTGCTGGGTTTTGCGTTAGTACAACCCTTTTTTTAAAGAAGCGTAATGCTTGCATGCCTGTATGAATATATTTGAATGCCTCTGCTGTATGAGAGGCAGCTTCTGGGACATACAAGAACAGGTTCAGTCCCCGAATAAAACAAAGCACTGGGGTTGGGATAGCTCTTGATGATTAGAACTTCCTCAGCAGCCTGTTTGACCTTGGTCCTACCCTTCAACATCCTGGTAGAAATTCCGTGCCAATGCCAGCGCTTTTTTGACTAGAAGCTCCTTCATCTAAATCACAGCTGCCATATGAGGGCAGGTATTCATCCTTGGCAAAGATGATGGAGTTCTCTGGGATATTACTAAAGAAAAGCTAACAAGCACCTCTAACTAGTCACTCTTTCTTATTAATAGCTTTCACATTATGGGAGCTATATGTGCTCTTTACAAATCCCAACTCTCTTGATTCCCCAATGGGCTAGGAGTGGCTCTCCAAAGGAGAATTCTGTATTTCCCAAAGGGAAACAGCTATTCTTTAAAACAGATTCATGGCTTGAACATCTTCTAGAAAGAAACACGATTGTTCCAATGAAAGAGAAATTTTACTTAATGCAGCCGAGTGAACAGTTTCATAGTTGACCACTAGCCAAATCTGAGTAGTATATAATTCTTGTGTTCAGTAGATGGCAGCAACAGTTCATTATTACAGTGGTTAGCTTTCCACATATCACTAGTTGTACCCAGGCTGCTGATTAAAAATCAACACACCTTTAACCTCTAATTGATTTCTACCATTATCTGGAGGATTCTATTTTCGTTTCTATTCAATCTTTGTCACATGATGCTAGGTTATCTTTACTGCCTTCAATTTGCAGCTGAATTATTGGTGACTGGTATTTTATGAGCTCTGGCAGGTGCATGGGCAGAATCCACTCTACCACAAAGTGAGCTTTTCTGGTCAGCCCAAAGCCTAATTTTTGCACCTGGAACATCTCTCCAGCTTCCACCGGTGGACAGAGGAGAACTCCCAGGATGTTCCCCACCCTCTGCAGAAACAGGGCTGTGTCTAAAGAAGCCTGCTTTGTGGTGGGGTCCCTAGGAGTGTGGAAGTCAAATTTGCCCCTTGTCATGTCATCACGGTCCATCACTATGCGCTGTCCTGGAGTATAGGCACGGAAACCCCCTCTAGTATGCCACACACGTATGTGACACAAGTACGTGGGAAGGAGCTAGTTTGTCTGTGGGGAGATCAGCCGCTTTTAGTAAGAGTGTGGCAACACAATCTCTGTAAGTCTGACGTTATTTTGGTTTGTTGGGGTTTTTTTGTTCGTTTGTTTTTTGGTGTTTATTTTTTTGTTTTGTTTTGGTTTGTTTTATCTGATAATGTGGTGGATGCAAAAGTACGGCTTTGTACACTTTATGTATATGGAAAACAATTTGTTTCAATTGGGTTATTCGATTTTAATTAAACAAACCTAGAATGATCCAAAATACACATTTTCTAATGGAGTTAAGTGGTACTTGTTTGGGAAAAAAATAAATATAATTTCTTCCTCCTGACTCTCTTCTTAGTTTTATTGATTTCTTTTCAATTAGAAGGGTATGTTCTATGTTAGAACAATACATACTAGTTTAATTCAAAGATAACTTCAGTTTTTTTAATATGCTTTTTTCTTCCCTAAATATGGCTCCCTTAAGGAGCAAAAAAAGACTCCAATTCCTTAGGGAAAATTAAATTATCCCATATCCTGTGAAATGAGAATTACCCCTCCTTCTCCCCTCTTCCCCCCACACCTGCCCCAGAATTCTATGTGCTTTCCTAAGAGGGATCAAATCGCTTCCTAAAAGCCAAATCAAAAAGTACTCTTTAGCATCTGCCATAAGACAACAGTTTTTTTTATGATTTGGCAGCACTTCACTACTTTATTCCTCCATGTAAAATGAAGTTAACAAACCAATTTTTAAGAGACTAATGCCTACTTTTTCGAGTGAGACAGCCCTGGCCAGGTACAACTTTCTGCCTTCTTTCCAAATTTCCTAGTATTATATTTACAAAAGCACAGTAACCTTTTAGAAAACAAAGTCAGAAGGACAGAGACAGATGGGTGCCCAGCAACTGTGCCCTCAAGGTTCATTCACTCCTTTTTCCCAAATGACAGTGAATTCCTGCCACTGTGAAAAGGAGACCTGCAGGTAACCTTATATAGTTGTGCTATCTCCTAGACTGCCATTGAAAATTCATCTCAATTCACAATTAGGTCTTATTCTCCAGTCTCTCTTGTAAACACCAATGCAGAGACTTCTCACCAGCATTCTCACCTTCATTTTCTTCTGGCAAAGGAGTATAAACATAGTTATTACAGTATTGCTGTAAGAATCAGAGTCCTGACCTCATCTGCCTTGATACCCAGCAAACCTACTTGAAAACTACAGATTTCATATTAAACCTTCTGTGCTAAGGTACATAGGACTATTCAATCCAATGAACCTCAGGTCTCAGTGATAATTGAACCAGGTATACAGCACATGTTGGTAGGGTCTATTTCCAGTGTGGAGTCCCAGGGTTGGCTTCAAAGCTGTGTAGCACTGTTACTTGCACAGCTGGTTTGCCCATCTTGGTTTTGAAATAAATTTACTGTATTGAATGGATTAAATCTATCCTCTCCACTTAATATCCTCATTCACGAGGAATAAATGAGGCAATCTTGTATAGACCCAAGTTCAGTGCTTTTACAGGCTGCAAGTTCAGTTCTGTATATTTCTTATTGTGTGGGCTCTGCAC